CTTTTCATGGCATTGATCACAGCCAAAAAGAAATGAAAAATCAGCAAAGATGGCGGTGTCAAAAACGTGCTCGCCCACTCGATAATTTCATTCTTTTTTATTTTTTCTAATTTTTATTATTATTATTTATTTTTACTATTTTTTAGTATTTGATTTTTATTTCAAATTTGGTAAAGAATTTGGATGTAACGTTGAGGCAAATGTTCTTTCGTTTATTTTTCTCTCGTAAGTGTTTTCAGGTTTTTTGGAAATCTTTTTTTTTTTTTTTTTTTTTTTTTTTTTTGGGTCCGTGTTCGGCCGAACGGCCGAATGTGTCGAGAGGGGGTGCCGAGCGTTTGGGCGTTCGGCCCGTCCCGAACGCCGGCAACCCTGTATATATATTCTCATCTAATATATTTTGACTGGAGTTGTGCGATCATGATGTCATGGAACATATCTTTTTTCTTTCACTACCAACCTACCACTACTCTTAAGGCTATACAGGGGACCCCTGCAAGCAGAGCTTTCTACCCCTCTTAGGTGAACGGAGGTTCCTCTCTCGGCGGAGGGAGGTAACAGCATGTTTGCCCCTTTGCCTTAGCGTTTAGGGTGGTGCAGTGTTGGGGCCGTTGGTGGGGGCCCAGCTAACACACGGACTGATTATTTGCCAGTAACTGTGCCTCCCTTTTCATCTTCCCCACCCCCATCAGGTAACAATAGTGTCTAAAGCCAACACATACTCTCCCACATGCCACACGCAACCCACTCCCACGCACACTCACCCCCGTGTTGGCTGAAGAGCTTACTAGTGTATATGTATATATATATATACAGGGTTACCTGACCGAACGTTCGGGTAGGCCCGGGCTGGCCCCCGAACGTTCGGGCGTACGGGGTCCTGTTTGGGACCGAACACCTCCAGGTTCGGCCCCCGCCAAAACACTTTTTGGGGCCTAAACATACATTGTTTTTTCTGAATTGTTTTTTGTGAGTTCTCTATGATGTAACCTACACGCCTATAAATTTTGAAGCCATTCTGCTAAGCCAAAAAAACATTAAAAATCTTAAAAGATGGGGGTGTAAAAACGTGCTCGCCCACTCACACTGTTTTTTTTTTTCACTTTTAACTTTTTGTTTTCACTTTATTTCAGGGCCTAAAAAATTATATTAGTTTTTGAAAAAAAATTAATGAGTTATTTATTATGTAACCTACATATCTGTAAATTTTCTGGGCATTTGTCAATGCCAAAAAATAATTAAAAATCGGCAAAGATGGCGGTGTCGAAAAGGTGCTGGCACAGTCACGCATTTTAATTCTCTTTTTTTTTTTCTTATTTTTATCATAGTGTTTAGTTTCTGTATTTGATTTTTAATTCAAATTTGGTAAAGAATTTGGATGTAGTGCCCAGGTAAATGTTGTTTAGTTTAGTTTTCTCCATAACATAGCTTTTTTCGGAATTTTTTGAAAACTTTGTTTTTTTTTTTGTTTTTTTTTTTTTGGTCCGCGTTCGGCCCGAACGGCCGAACGCCTTCTGAAGGGGTCCCGGTGAAACTCGACAAAACAGTTTGTCATAGCCCCTCATTTATTGTCCTCTTCTCCCTCTCTGCCTACGGTTTACCGGGCAGAGCTCTGTTTGTATCTGTATATAGTCAATCAGAGCTCTGCCCGGGAAACCATAGGCAGAGAGGGAAAAGAGGACAACAAACGAGGGGCTGTGACAAACTGCCTCACCGACTCATCACAGAGGCTGAACCCTCAACAGTAATACAATTTTCAATTTTGATAGAATACAACATAATTACATACATTTTATTATATTTAAAATATATAAATATAAAATAAGAAAAAATATAAAAAATACTAAAATAAATAAATAATATATATAATATAATATCGAAATAGAAGATATTATTTTTTTTTATCTTTTTCTTTCTATGTTCTTCTCTCAAATTCTTTTTTGCCTTTCACTACCTTCCTACCACTACTCCTAAGACTATATAGAGGGGACCCCTGCAAGCATATTGTGATAATATTGTGATAATAATGAAGGGATTACATTCTATAACAGAACATATTGTGATAATATATTTCCTTGAATAAAAATCAAACCTCAGCTTCTTTTTTTTTTTTTTTTTTTTTTTTTGATGGATGCATTATTATTATGCAAAACCGGGAAGCGGGCCCGGCATCCCTTACAAGATCAGCAGCCCGGGTTCTGGATCCGGCGGATCCGGATTGCGGGAAATGTTCATTCTAAGTTCTAAGGGTGGGACCCCACTGGACGGCGGCAAGCCTTTGGAAGGTATTTTTTGGGACTCCACTGCTGGCGGCAAACACAAGCATTTTTGTTTCCACTCTGCCTACCTCCGCTTTTTCAGCACACCAACCAATCCCCATGCTTCCTTGCCGCACAGGATGGGTAGCTCTAGAGGGGTGTGTTTGCCTACCTCTAGAGCTCAGCAAACGCACCCTCTGGATTCACCCATCTCTTGTGGAAAGAAAGCACGGGAATTGGTTGGTGTGCTGAAAAAGTGGGGGCAAACTTGCCCGAAAAGGCAAGTCTTCCGGATCAGGTAAAATAAACCTCGGGAAGTGCCAAAAATTGCTGTGGCAGTAGAGTCACTTTTCGCTTGCCCATTCCCTTCGGCTACGATTCTGGGCTGGCGGATGGTTTCCCGGCGCCAAGCACCGCCAAGCAGTGGGGAAGTGCCGAAAATTGCTGTGGCGGTAGAGTGTCTTTTTGCTTGCCCATTCCCGTCGGCTATGATTCTGCGCTGGCGGATGTTTCCCTGGTGCCAAGTACTGCCACGCAGTGGGGTCCCACCCTAGGTAATCACGCCAGAAATCACCAATCACGCCAACAACCTCCGCAAGGTCTCCCAGCTACCCTGCTCTTCTACGGTAACCAGCCGTAACCCATCCTACAACCAAACAAGGTAGCAAACCTAAGCTTTCTAGTTGTGATCTCAGTCCTGGGTTGAGTAAAGTCAAATGGCCTTTATTCTCAAAATAATGCCCACCTCGCTCTCCATTTCTTCACGAGAAAAATGCATCTGTACGCCACTTGGAGATGGGAATACCAGCCATACCCAGTCCTAGCGCCAACTTACGTCCATACCCAGAAAACGGCTGGTGGAAATTGTTCACATGCCGAGGAGCGAGGTGGCCCTAGGTTGGTACCACAAAATTGCGGTTATAACCAACAACCGGAATGCACAAATTATGGACATACCGTGGACAAGATTATGAGCGTATCCAGGACCTGAGGAGGAGCGGCCAAATTGTGTATACGCCCTTCTACCGGATGGCTGAAATTATGCTCATACCCAGCAGCCATTGGCCACAGCAGTCAAACTTGGTGGGCACGAGCGTAGTTTGATGCTCCAAATCCAGGCCCTGCGGGATAGGGTACTCCTGCAATTCTGCACAGGGGAAAAGGCGGATACTACGCAAAGCTGAACGACCTCAGGGTATAGATGCAAGTTGGTGCTGGGACTGGGTATAGCGGTGGGTATTCCCATTTTTAAGTGGGGTGGAGATGCAAGTTTCCCTTTCTACATCAAGGTGAGCACTGAAATTCTTGCGATTTCAAAGCAGCGACAAGCGAAATCAACCCAATGACCCCGGTAGCCAGCAGGCTATCCAAGGAGCAAAAGACAGACATCCCAGTGGAGGTGGCTAGTTGGGCGCGGAAACGCATCTGACAACACGGTCGACCCCTGTAAATATGACACCCGTCCAGACACCACGGCTGTTGGCACTTGCATTGCTTTTTCAACTTGGAGCCTGGTTTCTTTGCCGGTGCATCTTCTTTTGGCTTATTGGATACTCGAAAGTAACATGAATGTCCGTTTCCGAACTTGGCACCTGGTTTCTTTGCCGGCGCATGTTTTTTTGGCTTATTCGATACTCAAAAGTGACGTGAACATACTTTTCCAAACTTGGCGCCTGGGTTCTTTGCCGGCGCATGTCGTTTTTGGCTTATTCGATACTCAAAAGTGACATCAACATACTTTTTCCAACTTGGCGCCTGGTTTCTTTGCCGGCGCATGTTTTTTTTCGCTTATTCAGTACTCAAAAGCGACATGAACGTACTTACGTCTTTCTTAAATCTTAAACCGCCAGTACCTTTCCCAGCCACTTCGCCGAGATGCGCCGGGTAATGCGGCAGGCCGCCGCAGTTCGGTGCTACCGGACCAAAATGGATGGTGGCACCTACCAAAACGAGTCCCGCGCCGCTTTGTTTTTTTTTTTTCTCGGTGCACAGGCCGATTTTAGGCTTGGCATGTATAGCTGAGAAAGGTACTGGTGGCTTAAACCAAAGCATGGTACTAGAGGGGAGGGGGGGGGGGCTACAGCCAGCCTCCCTTAGTATCCGATTTTATCCATTTTTTGGTTACTCCAAGTCTTAAGTGTTGAATAACTTGATACATGTATATTTCATTATACGTCAAAAGATTTGAAGCACAGCAGAATGGCAGGTCACAGTCACAATGAGGTCGGAGATTGAACAAGTCCCACTGGCAGCAAAGAACTTATCTAGCTGCGATATCGACTACAGAAAATACACGTAGAAAAAACAAAAACAAAAAAACACAAAAAAATGGAAAAATGTGCACAAGGGTTAAAACGAAAAAAAAAAGAAAAAGAAGGAAAAAAAGAAGGAAAAAAAGAAGGAAAATGTTCACGTCAAATCCTTGACGGAGGCTGAATAGTATATTTGGCTTCTGCAGGGCCCCTCCGTGCTATCCTTCCTATCCTTTATGTGTATGGACTCAATTCCAAACAAATGTACCCAAACAAATGTACCCAAACAAATGTACCAACTGTGGGTGGGCTGATTGCTACTACATACTCTGACCGAACAAATGTTCATCAGAGCATTAAACCACCAGTACTTGGCCCAGCTATCGATGCCGAGCCTGGAATGCCCCTGCGCGCCGATTTTCGCCGAAGCGCCGCGGTACCGTTTTGAAAAAAAATTGGCTGGCACTTCCAGCCGTTGTGGTCCGGTACCCCGAAGCCCTAAAGGCGCGGCGCGTGAACGGGAAAGCGCCGTGGCCGATAGCTGGGCCAAGTACTGGTCGTTTAAGGGTTGGCATCTGAAAACTAACATGACAGGTGGTCACCCATATGAAGAAGGAACAAGCAAGGGGGACATCATATGGAATGGTTCACCAAATACAAGAAAGAAAGGAGCAAGAGAAAAAATGACAAGATCGAGGTCTCTCTCTCTCTCTCTCTCTCTCTCTCTCTCTCTCTCTCTCTCTCTCTCTCTCCCCCCCCCCCCCCCCCCCCCCCCCCCCCCCCCAGTAGACGGCTTGTTACTGCTGTCATGCTTTCCAAAAGCGAATACTCCGATCAACACCACAGGTGACAAAAGCGGACTCTAGCGGGGAGAACTCGACCCAACGTGGCGCCCCATTATGCCCCGTAGCAAAACGACTTACAAGCTCTCCGGTCCTTGTATCCCAGACCACCACCTGAGATGCACAATCACATGGAAAAAACGAAAGCAAGTACACAAACATGCATCAGGTAAATCTCTCTCTCTCTCTCTCTCTCTCTCTCTCACACACACACACACACACACACACACACGCATACTCTCTCTTTCTCTCTCTCTCTCTCTCTCTCTCTCTCTCTCTCTATCTCTCTATATATATCGTCACAAACAGAACTGCCTGGTAAAACCGTAGGCAGAGAGAGAGAAGAGGACAACAAACGAGGGGCTGCTATATATATGTATATATATATATGTTTATATATATATCTATATATCGTCATATATATAGATCACACACACCATGACAAATCTGGATTGGCCCTGGGACTGGAGGGCTATACTTCTAGGTCATTGGGAACCTGCAGGCATTCAGCTATCAGACTTTCGGCAAAACTTTTTTATGATAGGACGTAAGGCTGTTATCTGGACGCTATGGTACAAACGCTGCGTATGGGAAAGAGAAGATGTGAAGTTAGAAGGACTTAATATTGTGGAGTCAATTGTGGATTTTGTGCAAACAGCGGTTCCGGCACAATGGAAGGCCCTCACAATCAAATTATATAAATTTCATTTTAAAAGAGATATAAAAAAGGCAATCCAACAATTTGAAAAGGACTGGCTGGGAAAATCTGCTGAGGGGGGACTAGGTGAAGTGATGTGGCCAGGTGCGGAGGGGGAAGAGGAGCCTTTCAAAAAGGATTTTCACCTCCTATTCCGAGACTGGTTCAGACTTCAGCCAGGAGCTTCGCTTAGATCTTTTTTTTTTTTTTTTTTTTTTTTTTTAAAGAAAAAAAATTTGGACCATTTCTCGATTTATGCGTGTCATCCTTGCGCAGGGGCCATGCTAATCTTCTCTGTATCGTTCCAATTTTAACGGATGCTTAGATCTTCTGATTTTTTCACAGATCCATTTCCCCCTTCCAAGCTTGCTATAGAAGGGGAGTGAAGAAGGTGGAATCTTTGGTTTTTTGGATCTGCAGATTCTGCACATCATCAAAACTTGGGGGCTTGTTTTTTTTTTTTTTTTTTTTATCTGGCGGTCTTTTAATGGACTGAAGAGGCACCCAGTTTTTCTCCTTTTTCTCACGGTTATCAGGAACATCATGAGGGAAGCTGGGCCCGGTTCTCAGCATATGCTATGGTTATCTTTGTTCAAGGGACGCTGCACCCGGTTTCCAGCAGGTGCCGCTCCCCACCAATAGAATGGAGTTCCTTGCATGACAGGTATGAGTGCATGCTCTTATCATCACTGCTATCTGTTGTTGTGAGCGGTTTATTTAAAACACACACACACACACACACACACACACACACACACACACACACACACACACACACACACATGTGCACACACACACAATCAGTTTTATGTCGGTATGTCTTTCTCTTGTTCCTAGTCCTTCGTTCTATTTTTCCTTCCTTGCTGTGTGTCTAGGCGAGCACCTTTAAGAAGTGCTAAATAGTAGGCGGTCTGTCGTTTGGAGTGCCTGCAGGACTTTTAGGGACGCCACTCTGTTTGCGATGTCTGTGTGCTGCGTATGGTCTATGGGGTGATGACAAACATCCAAATAGGAACGAGCAATACACTGAAGTCTCTCGATAAAGAAAGCCCTTCCGCGGCCTCCAATCATCAAAGCATCAACAATGTATTACTATGACTACTGGTGCCCTGAACGCCCATTCTACTTCCTAGTTCCTTCTTATCTAGCCTATCTACATGCCAACAATGGTCCACGTGTCAGTCGCTTGATGCTGTTTGCAGACTCTGATCACACAGCCTGCCTTCGTTGTCACCAGGCATGTGCCTTGTTCTCGCCACCTCCCTTCTCTCTCCCATGACCTCCGCACGACCACCACTCGGCAATGTCAGCACCCTGCCGGGTATGGCTGGCGCCCCTCCTGGCTTACTGCCACCGCATCAGGATCTCCTCCTCCTCCTCGAGTGCTGGCTGGGTGCACTCTGGTGCAGCGTGACCGCTCAACCTGGACCCCCGAACGTGTCTTGCTGGGCAGCAGCACTCCTCTCGTGTTGCGCAAGCAGGATGCAACCAGCCTCGACCGCATCCCCTAAGGAATTGCCTGGGGGGCCTACTAAGAGGGCATGCAGACCCAGTCTCTGCAACTAACTGGCCCCTTTCAGCCAACCCACGGCGCCCTTTTCTCACTTAGGGCCGGTGTGTTGCCGGCGTTGATTCTCCTGGCCCGCCTGCGCCTTCACGGAGAGCGTGAAGGCTCAATTTCCTCACCGCCGAAGGCCTAAATCCTCGCAATGGGACCTTCCCAATTTTTTTTGTCTTTGATTTTTGGATTTCATAGATGGTGGACAAAGGGGGAAGGAAGTCGATTAAGCAAAATGGTGGAGTACTGATCTTTGCAAAATGTCACTTCACTACCACCTGCGCCTGACAAACCGCAGTGTACGAGAAGGCAAAGGCTAGGCTGCTGCCGTCTTCATCGGAATATAGAACTCCCGGTTACTATTGGTGTATCTGGACTGAAAGTTGTATCGAATGCAGGTATAATGATCGGGAGTTCTGTTCGGGTGAAGACGGTCGCAGCCTGGTGGCTCCTTGAAACCACCTCTACCTTTAGGCCGGTGTCCCATTGGGAAATGACCTCATCCTAGAATTTTGGAGGCCGGGCCCAACGCGCGGCCGTCCTTGATAAACCCTTCATCGGTGGCCGTTTCAGTGTTACCGGCCTCCAGAAATCATGGGGCCTCGTGTGCCTTGCCCGTTGGCCGACATATGTGAGAGGTAGTGGTGGTTTAAGAGAACTATGGTACCGGCTGCTGACTGCCCAATGCTAATTGCAACGGTCGGTGGCTATCAAAGCTGCCAGCCCCCATTCACAAGGGGCAAGGTTCCACAACAGTCGGTAGAGGCGGTGCTGTTTTCTTTTCCAAAGCCGCC